GAGGGGAGGGGGGAAGGGAGAAGAGTACAACGGGGATCACGATATTAAATATCTCATTAGTTATAATAAGAGAGCATCTTTATTCAATCACGGGGAAAAATTACGTATGTACGCACATGCGTTATTTTGTGCGTGCGTGCGCCTCAAGTGTATACATTCACCAGAATGAAAAAGGATCATTGAGAAAGGTTTAAAGACGTGTGTGAGTGCGCGTGTTTATTTTATTGCCATTAGTGAATTTTTTTATTTATTTATTTTTTTTTATATTTGTAAATTTGTGCAAACTCATTTAATTGAATTCGAAAGGTAACCGGTAAATAATAATAATAATAAATATGAAGAAAAAGAAACGTAGTTTCGAATGAGGCGTTTTTTCTTTTTTTCGTTACTTATTAATTTTTCGTGCCGGATGAAACGTATCGTTGGAGGGGGGGAGAGAGAAAGAGAGAGAGAGAGAGAGAGAGTGGAACACTTGTAAAAATTAAAGAAAGCCAAATTATTTATCGTGTTTTTCTTTCTTTCCGAAATTTTAAAAAAAAAAAAAAAAAAAGGAGGTAAAGTGAAACGGGGGGAGGAGTGGTGGTGGTGGTGATGGTGCTGTTACTACTCGTGTGCGTGAACGCACCACAATACGCACCCAAACGTCATACAAATAATAATACCCTTTTGTGTAGTTTTCTTCTTATATCGATTTTTATTTTCCGACTCGACTCATTCATCATCCCCTTTTCTTCTCACTACAAGGGAAAGGAAAATGTAATTGTAAAAAAAAAAAAAAAAAAAAGTTTTCCTTTTTTCGAAAAATCTCGTTTATTAACAGATGACGTACGTGTATGACGTAGTGTGTTGTGACGTAATTGTTTTGTTATTATTTACGTTATCCATTGTTGTTAAATTTTCAGACGTTTTCTACCTCTCTCTCTCTCTCTCTCTAATCTCAGTAGGCCACACCTTCACCGGTCACGGGTCATTACGGGTCACCGTGTTGATGATTGAATAATAATTAATAATAATGATAATAATAATAATAATAAATATCTCGAACGCCGCTCTGTCGGCGGGTTCTTTTCAGCGAGTATTATGTTGTCATAAGGTGATGTAAAAATAAAGTGACACCTTGTCACTTGATTCGAATTTAGGACATTTTTATCGATTATGATGATGATGATGTCCTCTCCGTATTTACTATCGTGTTCGATGAAAGGGAATAAGATGTAAATGCTTTGCTCTCCGTTTACCCCTCATTATGGAAAAAATATAATAATAATAATAATAGTTAAGATTGGATTTGATGATGTACGTAGGTACGTAAAATCCGTGTTTAATTATAATTAAAGGAATGAAAATGATGATGATGATAAAACGATGTTCTCAATTACACATGGTGCTCTTTTTTTTTTTTTTTTTTTTTGTTTGTAACGGAAAAAGAGAAATTTCGTCCTCGAAATTTTCTTTCTTTATTTTTCTAATTCGACTCCGAAGTTTAAAATTTGAGGAGGAGGAGGTGGAAGAAAGGAAGGAAGTCGAATGTTATAAACAATAAACACTCATGGGATTTTTTTTTTTGTGAAATGTGCAATCGAGATACAAGTTTTTCAAATATGCATCGTTGTGTGTGTGTGTGTGTGTGCGTGTGCGTGTGCGTGTTTGCGTATGTACGAGAGCAAAAAAGAAAATACTTTTTTTTTTTTTATAAATGATTAAAAAGTTGGCGGTCATTAAAAAATCATTTAAAGACTTTTTTTTTTTTTTTTCGCCGGCGTATTAATTTTACGACCGGAGAAGAAGGGGGACCAACGGGGGGCGGGAAAGAAATATGTGTACAAAGAAAGGAGAGAAAAAGAGAGAGAGAGAGAGAGAGAGAGAACCTCTTGGCAAAAGTATAAAAGAGCGAAAAAAGAAAAAGACTAAATGAAACATGACCAAAAATTTTTTTTTTCCCAAAAATTTGTTTTTTTCGATCATCGGAACGAAACAACAACAACAACAACAATCATGTTTTGTTTTGTGTTTCGAACGAGTTTGAATTTTTTGTTTGTTCTTTCGTTGGTTTTTCCCACCTGTTTTTTTTTTTTTTTACCCTTTTTTGACGAAACCTAAAAAAAGGGAACAAGTTAATATTGTTTTTTTTTTTTTTTTTTGAAAATGAATTAAAATGGCGGAGGGTTTCCGGTTTTCATTCAAAAAAAAAAAAAAAAAAAAAAATTTACCCCGAGGAAACTCTATAAAAGTTTTAAAGATATTTAAATTTTTCTTTTCTCTCTCTCTTTTTTTCTCTCTCTCTCTCTCTCTCTTTTTTTCTCTCTCTCTCTCTCTCTCTTTTTTTCTCTCTCTCTCTCTCTCTCTCAAGAAAAAAAAAAACAATATGGAGGGAATTTAAAGTTTTTTTCTTTGAAACGTTTATTATATAAACGACGCGGGTGAAAATATGAAAATTTAACTAAAGGGTAAATATTTTTCTTATTTCTCCCCTCTCCCCTCCGCCCCCTTTATTTTTTTAACGGATTTACCGGAAAGATTAAAAAATTTAAAATTCTCATTTAGGAGATTGAATGCAAAAAAAAAAAGAAAAACGTTTTGAGAATTTGTTTTCATTTTTTGCATTCGACTCCTGCCACGTCAAAAAATTTTTTTCTATTTTTACGTTTTCGATTGTTCGTATATATGAAAACAAATAATTTTAGTGAATGCAACGAATTAAAAAAATATTAAATAAATAAACGAAAGAATAGTATTCTAGATTGTTTCGTTCCAGGTGTAAAACTTCCGTTTTCGAAAAAGAAAAAAAAAAAAAATGATATTGATTTAAAAACAAAAAAAAAAGAAAAACGTAAACCAAATGTGCTTGCATGTGCGACATATGAATCGAAATGCTTTTACACACTAAGAAAAATTTAATCGTATGAAAAAAAAAAAATAAACCATTTGGAAAAAATCATCATCATCATCATCATTAATATCCCCCCCCCAAAAAAAACGATCCGAATCGCGTTTTTTGGTCTGATTGATTGTGATAAACTTGTCGAGCAAAAAAATTGCGACATTGTAATTTTAATGGTGAGATTTCGAAACAAACGGAATTTTCGACTTTTAAAATTATATTATATACGTTGTCATTTAAAAACAAACAAAAACAAACAGAAAACAAACAAACAAACGAAAAACGTTCGATCGCATTTCAAAACGCGTTTCCGTTTAGGCAAAATAGGTTGTTGCTGTATATTATAATAGTGATGGAGATAGTTTCCCAGTTCTCCGGGACGAATTCTTTTTTTTTTTGGGGGGGGAGGAGGAGCACGGGGGGGCGGGCAAGGGTGAGAGGATCGTTTGAATATCGGAAAGCTTTTATCTTTTCGTTTTTTTTTTTTTTTTTCTTCTTCTTCATTGAATTCTTCATTCTTCTTCTTCCAATTTTTTTTTTTTTTTTTTTTTTATACATCACGGATCCCATCAACGCCTCATTTTTTTTTTTTTTTTTTTTTTTTTTCTCTTCGTTTCCCCCTATGTAAATAATAACAATGAAAAAAAAAAAAGATAGATAAATGGTGGATGACGTTGAAGAATAAAATATGTGAAGTGGTTTAAAGATAATAAGTTATCATCATCATTATTATCGTCTTTTTTTTTTTTATCTGGTCTTACTCGTAGAGGTTCGACGGGTCCTTACGTATTCGGCGTGTTGGATATTATAGCCGTCCAATGGTCTTCAATTTAAAATGATTTGTGTGAGTCTTACCGGTTACTACTACTACTATTCCAGCTACTACTGTTGTTAGTACTACTACTACTACTACTGCCACTAGTACTACTACCACCACCACCACCATTACCGTATCGACTACTCTTCTTTACATCATCTTTCCCCCCTTGATCCAAACTTGGTTCTTTATTACTTTTACATCTCTAACTGTTTTTATTCCACTTTGTCACTTTTTAAATACCTTATTATTATCATCATCATCATCAACATCTTTCGAAACCTTTTTTTTTACGTGTTTTTTTTGTTGTTCTCCGTTATTTTTTAAATTCCCCCTCTCAAAAAGTTGAAAAGTGTTTTTTTTTTTTTCGATAGATGGTTTTGAATGGATGACTGCTTAAAATATATCGAGTTTTTTTTTTTTTTTGTTATTATTATTATTATTATTATTATTATTATTATTGAATTCGCCATGATTTTTCGTAGCATATTTTCTTTTATAGTTTGACGTTTTTGGAAAAGAACACTTTACTTTGAAGAACGGTAATAGTGAGTGGGTTCGTGCGCTCGCGCTGTTTATTATTGTTTTTTTTTATTTCGAAATCCGTTCGATTTTCTTCTGCTTTCGAGAAGAAAAAAAAATTGTAGTACTTGTTTATTATGCGTGCGTGCATGCGTGCGTGCGTGTGTGCGTGCGTGCATATGCGATCGGGTCGGCCGACCATTTTTCATTATCATTTCCGTCATTTCACTGAGAATTTATTCAAGGGCACCGTGTGAGAATCTTTCTTTAACCCAATCGTTAGATTTATTTCGATCGTGTGTGCGTGTGCGTGTGCGTGTGCGTAAAGGAAATGGTGTTTAAAAATGTATTAAGCACCATTTTTATTCTTTGTAACATTCGACTGCCTTCTACTACTTGTACTACTACTAGTAGTAGTAAAACAAGTATTAGTATTTGTTAATGCGATCATTTTATGGTTAAGTTAATGAATCAACCCAACAATTAAGCTAGCCCATGTATTTTTTTTTTTTTTTTTTTTTATGGATTCTCAGAGTACGAACCGTAATTTGCAGGAAGCCAAAATAATAATAATAATGATAACCACGAATTTTATTTAATTTAATGTAATTTTTGTTTTTTGTTTCAGGTATCCTCCGGCATGATGAGGGGGAAATAATAATAATAAGAATAACGAATGAAATAATATTCCGATCATGTTTTGTAAAGTGTGTGTGTGCGTGTGTGTTCGTGAAAACGTGTTTTTTTTTTTTTTTACTTTTTTGACGAAATATTAAATTGATGAGAAATATGGAAATGGCGGCGATGACGACGACGACGACGACGGCGGTGGCGGTTACTCACAATAAAATAAAACTTCGCGAAGTGAACAGGCATTTGGTGTGTCGACTTTGTCGCGGATATTACATCGATGCCACGACGATAGCCGAGTGTTTACATTCTTGTAAGTAGATTTTACATTCTTTCTATTCGTAATTGTTGTAAATTTATGCAAAAGTGTGTCTCGGTTGTTACATCGACAAGACAACAACAACCAAAACAACAACAACTACTGCGACAAGTAAGTAATGACGATGACGAAAAGGAGTTTTCTCTCTCTCTCTCTCTCTCTCTCTCTCTCTTCTGGTTATTGAATCGTTGAAAGATGTCGTCCGTTCGTCCATCCGGTCGATCGATTAATTATTATTACTCTATGGAAAAAAAAAAAATTTTCTTATTACTATTTTCTCTCTCTCTCTCTCACTGCGTGACTATATAGAATTTTTTTTTGTTGGTATAAATACGATGTCGCTAATTTTCTTTTTTTATTCGTCTCGTTTTGTTTGTTTCTCTCTTCCCCATTTTTTTTTTTTTTTTTTTTTTTTTTTTTTTTTGTATAACGTGATCGTGTTTCATTTTAAAATTTCGTCTGCTTCTCTCTCTCTCTCTCTCGATTTCCTTTCTTCTCTTTTTTCCCCGTTAAAAAAAAAATAAAAAAAAATTGATTTAAAAATTAAATGGCTGACTAAATGTTTTAACTGTGGAAAAAAAATTTTTTTATTGAAAATTTGCGTTTAGTTTTTAAGGTTTATTATAGTCGAATGAAATGTTGTTAAATCGTTTTAAACAAAAAAGAAAGAAAAAAGAGAGAAAGAAAAAAAAATTTAAATTGGGTGCCATTGATTTTGTGTGACGCACGTATTTTTTTTTTTTTTTCGTTAATTTCTATGCTTTTGAGTCTCGCTTAAAATTCCGGGCAATAATCCAAACATAAAATGTATAAAAATTTGACCTTAGACGGTGTGTGTGCGTGTGCGTGTGCGTGCGCGTGCTAATAAATTTTGTTTTTCGTTTTTGTTTTTTTTTGCATGCAAAAAGTTAAATTTTACATTTGACTACTACAACGACAACAACAACAACAACGTGTTTGACTAACGTATTAATTAATTATTGTTAAAAAAGAAAATTTAACTACTACTACTACTACTACTAATACCAGTACTACCACCACCCACGTAATAATAATTTTTTTTTTTTTTTTTCGACAAACCTGAACCTGGATGTGACCAAATTCTTGTTTTGTTTTATCAAGGTGATGGGGCCGTCTAAATGAAAACACGACGCCCTATTTTTAATCATTTAATAATCGACTTCCTCTCGTTTTTTTTTTTTTTTTTTCTTTTAATTTATCGAAGATGGTACGACTGCAAGAGAGAAACGTAATTCCCCCCCCCCCCCAAAAAAAAAAAAAATCCGATGATGATAGAATGATTAGGTATGAAAATGTTATTGAGAATATGCGACAGAATAAAGTTGTGAGAAAAATACCCGAAAAAAAAAAAGTAATCCGGTAGTTGGTTGTTTGTGGATTAATATTATTATTATTATTAATATGGCATTAACTCGTCTTTTCCTTTTTCCTTTTTGCTTTTATAAAGAAAACCCGATTTTGTTAAAACCACAAAAAAAAAAAAAAAAAAAAAAATTACTATATTGAGAATGTTTGAAAAAAAAAGGTTTCGTGTTTTATTATCGTACGTGTCCGAAGTAAAATGGCATTGTTATGACTATTAATTTTCTTGTTTTTCTTTTTTTTTTTTGCGGATGGAAAGATGGACGGGATGGACGGGATGGACGATTCTCATATTCCGATAGTTTTTAATGGTCTTTATAAACTCGTTTTCCTCTCTCTCTCTCTCTCTCTCTCTCTCTCTCTGTCTCTCCACTACGTAAAAACACCGCTTAAATTATTTCCTATTGCATACCAAGGAAAATTATTATTATTATTATTATTATTATTATTATTATATTCTCGTTATAATGATTTAAACGTGTGTGAAAAAAAAAAAAATGGTGACAGGTGATAAAAAAAGTAAAAAAATACAATCAATGATGGCGGTGGTGGTGGTGATTATAAATTTTTTTTTTGTTTTTGGGGAGGAGGGAAGGGGGAAGAAGGGATAGGATTTTAATTTTTACACGAAATGGGTTTAAAACAAGGGGGGGGAGGGTTCGGGAAGCTCCCGAGGCTTTTTTTTTTTTTTTTTTTTTTAAATTAAACGGTCGTCGAGTTTGGTTTTTTATAAAAATAAAAATTTATCAGGTTGGGTGATTAGCCTAATGCGTTGATATCACCCGTGATAATAATAATAATAATAATAATAATAATCTCGACGTGGTAAATCAACGAGAGAATAATTAATTAATTCTTTAATTCTCCCCCGCCCCGCCCCCCCCCCCCCGTTTGGTGTTTACTTTACGAATTGAATATTTATTAGGTTTAATATCATCATCATCATCGTCGTCGTCATCGACAAGACGACTTTTACGAGGAACTTTGATGTGTCTCGTGTATTATTTTTCAGAATTTATTTTGAGGAGTCATTTGTCTCTTCTGATCCTTATTGAAAGGTTGTTTTGTGCCGTTAGAAACGAAACCGAGATTTTTCTTTGTCTTTTCGAAAAAGTTTTTTGGGTTTGCCCAATGCGGATTTCAATGTGCCCAATCTGCGGTGTACGAAATTGAATTCTGCTTTTTTTACCCCCCCACCCCCACCCCCCCTTTTCGGTGCCTTTAAGACGAGATCGGAACAAGAGCTACACATACATAGCATTCCTGGGTATGCATTCCCAAATCAAATCCTTAAGAATAACTTTCTTGTAATTATGAGATTACGAATCCTCTAATCGCCCGTTTACATTTCAAAAACACTATCATCATCATCATCTTTATCATTATTATCATCATCATCATCATCATCATCATCATCATCATCATCATCATTATTATTATTATTATTGTTACGTAAGAAACAAAAAAAAAACCCTAATAATAATAATAACTGCCGTCAAAGTAAGAACTTTAAAAAGAAAAAAGATAGAGAGAGAGAGAGAGAGAGAGAAAAGGCAACACCGCAACGCAATAATCCGTGACGTTTTTTTTCCAGGGGGAGAGGGGAAAGGGAGTGGTAAATAAAACACAAAGGTAAAAAAAAAAAAAAAAAAAAGGTTAAGAAAAAAAATCCTTTTTTTTTTTTTTTTTTTCTTTTCTTTTCTCCCTCTTGCTTTTTATGTATTTATTTATCAACATTATTACCTATTATTATTATTATTATTATAACATTGTCTACCTGGCTGGTTGGGACCTTCCTGTTCTGTTCGACTTACAACCGGACAAAACTTGAAATCCATTCACGGATTGGATTTCATGTGGAATAACGTAAATAGACCCGGCGCTGAACCGCAAACAGCTTTTGATTCATATTTTTTTCTACCTTCTTCACGTCAATTAATTCATCTTTTTCAGTTCATCATCTTTTTCTTTTTTCTTTTTATATTTATTCCTACTGCCTACTGGATATCTCGGTAAGATCTCTATCTATCTATCTATCTCTCTTTCTCTTTCCCATTCCCCCCTCCCCTCCCGTGTGTTTGTGTGACGTTAATAAAAAATTACATAATCACCTAAAGGTAGAAAATAATCATCATCATCATCATCATCATCATCATCATTATTAATATTAATTTCTTTTTTGTTTTTTTTTAGTTTGCCGAAGTTGTATAATAAAATACCTGAGTCGTCATAGTTTTTGTCCCGTGTGCGAAGTTCAAATTCACAAAACGAAACCGTATTTGAACCTGAGATTGGACAAAGCTTTACAGGATGTCGTTTATAAACTCGTGCCTGGATTATATCATAATGAAATGAAGAGGAGAAGAGAATTTTATGCGAAGAATAAAGAGCAAAGTAAGTGTTGGCTTTTTTTTTTTTTTTTTTTACCTCTCTCTCTCTCTCTCTTTCTTTCTCTGTTTGTTTTTCCTTTTGTTTTGTTTGCCTTTGTTTTTGTGGGTACATTTCTTTCTCTCTCTCTCTCTCTCTCTCTCTCTCTCTCTCTTTCTCTCTGTTTTGCAAGGTTGGCAACTTTACGAAATGGTTATAGATACGTTGTTTGCTTTATTTTACATGTCACGTAGGTACTTTATATATATATTATATATAGAGGTAATGTTTTAGGCTGAAGTAAACGTGTCTTCAAGAGGTTTTCTCTCTCTTTCTCTCTCTCTAATATCTCTCTCACGATTAAAAACGTAAAAAAAAAAAAAAATAATAATAAAAATTAAATTAAATTAAATTAAATGTTTTTTTTACAAGTAACCCTTACGCAGCATCTCTCCGGATCCGTACCGTATTCTCATCCCCGGGTTTTTTTTTTTTTTCTTTCCTCGTAAATCTTTTCATTAGTTTGTAAAAGAATTTTTTTCAAGGGAAGGGTAGGGGCGGGGCGGGGGTTTTCTTTTTAAAAAATGAGGAGAGAGAGAGAGAGAGGAAGATAGAGATAGAGAGAGAGAGAGAGAGAGAGAGAGAGAGGAAGATAGAGATAGAGAGAGAGAGAAAGAATTATGGATTTCGTTAAGGGTTCGTAGGCGGTTTTTTTTTTTTTTTTCTTGAGGAAAAGTTTTAATAAACCAAAGAATGCAATTTCAAAAAAAAAAGAAAAGAAAAAAAACGTTAAAATTTCTCTCGCGATTGATGCAAACCAACGGTCGGTAATTATTTATTTATTTATTTATTTTTCGTCATTGAAATGGCGGAGACTTGTTTTTTGACATTTGATTTCGTAACGACGCATTGCAGTAATATTTTATATATATATATATATATATATATATATATATATATTATAATATATTTTTATTTCTCTCTCTCTCTCTCTTTCTCTCTCTCTCTCTGTGCGTATATAGAAAGGTCGGTCACTTATTTAAAAATCTCGCGTCGTGTCCCTCCTTCGTAAAAAAAAAAAAAAAAAACGCTGATTACCTTAAGACGTGCGTGCGTACGTGCGTGAGTGCGTGCGTACCAACGTGAAACCGGTGTGTTGAGTATGTATATAATAATAATAATAATAAAGCCGTTGGCATTTAATCCGTTTTTACTTCCCTTGATCAAATTCTTTAATTGACACATAAGTGCTATTTTTTTTTTTCCTTTTTCTTTTATGCATGCATGAATGGAATTTGTTCCCTCCCCCTCTCTTTCTGTATTCTCTCCTGCATGCTCTTTTTTTTTTGGGGGGGGGGATTTTAATTCAAAAAATAAATAAACCCTTCTTCCGACGTGGCATTCGATGTTGTGTCGCCCTTAATTGAAAAGGTTTTATTAAATAATGTTTTACAAGAGATGAATTTGTTGTTGTTGTTGGATTTATAATTGCACCCCTCATTTTTTTTTTTTTTTGGTGGAGGGTAATTAATTTCGTGATGAATTTAAATTTAACAAATTTTGCTTTAAGTATTTGAAATTTAAAACTCGCGCCTTTTTTTTTATTGTTTTCAGTTCCTCTGGCAACTCCAGAACAATGCGGATTAGAAGAAAGATTAATATTTTCTCCGGATGATAGCATAAGTTTATCACTGGAATATTTAGAAAGGTAAGAATCGTTATTTATTATTATTATTATTATTTGAATCGATTCTCGAAGGTTTAATGGAATGTGGTGAAGGCTAAAAACAAGGGAAAAAAATTGTGTACTGTTAAAAAAAAAAAAAGGGGGGGGGCGGAGGAAGAAGCGAATGTAAAATTGTGTTTTTTCCCTTTAGGGAGGGGGGAGGGGAGGGACGGGAAAAGTTTATTTAAATAGTTGCGAAAAATAATAATCATAAATAACGAATTTCTTTTACTCGCTTTAAGTAAGGATCTCGACGAATTGCGACAATTTTCTCCGACGTGTGTTTGATTTATTTAATTAATTTTTAATTATGCGAATCGATTTAATTTCGCCGCGACGACGGTTTTCTCTTGCCAACCCACGTGACGTGACGTAACGGCAAAAAAAACTTTGATAATAACCCCGTCGATTTTTATCAGTTTTGAACACGGAGATAAGTTGCATTCGATCCTTTGGAGTTGTTGTTGTTGTCGAACAAGGCTGGAATTTTCCAGTTTTTTGCCGCAAACGGTTTCTTTTTCTTTACCGTGATTTTAATCGTGAAAATCTTTCTCGCATTTTTTTTAATTTAAATGATTCCGTTAGTTCGTCGGAGCTTTTTCTGATTTTTCTTCCTTTCGGTTCGGGTACTTCCTTCTCCATCGATTAATTTCCATTCGTCGTAACGGTTTTTTTTTTGTTTTTTGATGTCTAAAGATTCTCATACATTCCGAATGCGATTTCCGGGAAATTATACCAAATCCAACAAACACTTCCTTTGTACCAAGTTTATGTTGTCTCGTTTGCTTTTTTTCTTTCTTTTGAATTTGTATCGAAGAAGGTGACGTGCTTATCGGGAAGTGAGTACCGATACCCGATTCTTTGGATGTTAATGACGTCATTCGAAACGGGAACTAACTTTCGCGGGGGTCAACTTGACCCTTAATTTCGATCGCCTTGATTTGTTGAAGTACCCAATGATACCAAAGGGTTAGCATTGATAATACACTCTCAGGGTTCGAGTACTTGTCGAGATTGTTTACGTGGATTCCGTTTTCCGTTTTAAAGGTTTAAATGGAAGCGTGTAGCATAGCGCAGCACACGCACCTGATTCCACAAATATTTATAATTAATTATTAATACCGGATGAGAGAGAGAGAGAGAAAGAGAGAGAACCTGCTGCGTCGACGGTTTTTTATTTTGACACCGCCGTAGAGCGGGTACCGTTGGTGGGTGTTCGACCGAAGATACTTATCGCGGGTCACGGAAACTTTTTTTTTTCTCTTAATTTTAATTATTTTAATTATTATTATTATTATCATTATTAGTATTGAAATTATTTGCGGAAAGTGCTGTGTATTTTTTTTCTAATATTAAAAAATAAATAGTAACTCGTTTTTTAATATATATATATATATATATATATATATATATATTTGCCATTCGAGAATTTTTGAATTTTTTATATTTTTTTTTCGTGTGATTGTTATCGAGTTCCTTTCTAATTATAACAAGGCAAACAAGTTCAAATGGTTATGGTGGTGGTGGTGGTGGTAGTGATGGTGGTAGTAGCAGTAATACTGTATCGAATAAAGTAGAATTTTTTTCAAGTCGATTATTAGGTGGTGAATTAGTAAAATTTAGAAAAGCGTTTAAAAAGAAAAAAAGAGAGTTAGAAAGAGAGAGAGAGAGAGAGGAAGGGGGGTTAAAAAGAAGAGAGAGAGAGGGAGAGAGAGAGAACTTACAGGAAAAGGATTAGTTTGAATTGATAAATTATTCGGTCATTTTATACCTAAGACCCTTTTTTTTTGGGTTCTTAAATTAAACTTTTGAAAAGAAAGAAGACATTTCTTTTATTTCCCCTCCCCCCCCCCTGTCTCTCTCTTCAAGTCGAGGGAAAAAGGAAAAAGGAAAAGAAAGGAAAGGAAAATGGAACGAAATCCGTTTGATTTTCATCTTGTTTCCATGACAATGAATATATATATATATTTTGTTGGGTCGAGAGGATTTTTTTTATCATTTACCTTAATTCTTCTTCACTCTCTCTCTTTCTCTTACACTCTCTCTCTTTCTCTTACACACTCTCTCTCTCTCTCTTCAAAAAACAAAAAAAACTTTTTTTTTCAAAACCTGAATCCCATTTTTTTTTAAAAATTATGGGGAGGAAGAAGTTTTTTTCGGTTGTAATTAATAATTTGTGAAAGGTTTAAAAAAGAAAAAAAAATACTTGAAAAGGTGAATAATAAACCGGAAATTGAAAGAAAGAAAAAAAGGAAGTAGAAGAAAAATTGCGAGATTTTCGGCTTTTCTATCGCCATCTTTTTTTTTTTTCTTTTGTATTCCGTTGGTATGATTTGCACATTTTCTTGGATTCTCACACGCATTTATTTTTCCTCGTCGTGGAAAACAATTTTTTGAATTTTTCGGAAAATTTTTCCTCTCTCTCTCTCTCTCTCTTTTTTCCATTTCTTACTTACTACGGCTTTCCTACCGATCACGTTACGCAGATGTTTATGTGTTTAACGAAGGAGAGAGGAGGAGGAGGAAGAAGAAGAAGATCGGGGGTGAAATTTTAACATGACCGCACGGTATCAAATTTCGTTTTTCTTTTCGTTTTTCGTTTTACCCCTAATCTCTCTCTCTCTTTCTCTCTCTCTGGCTGTCCGAATCTTTTTCTCTCTCGGTCGGAAAGAAAAAAAGAAGAAGAAGGAAAAAAAACGAAACGAAAGGAAACGAAACGAAACAATTTCATTATTTCGCGTGTGTTTCGAAACGTGAAATTATGCAGTAGGTCGTCGTAGTCGTCGTAGTCGTGGTAGCAGACGAGGAGGAAGGAAAGAAAAAAAAAAAAAACAACAATTTCAATGCCACCACTTGATGAATTCTAAATGACGTTTTCTCTTTTCTGGTATCTCGCTATCTCTCTCTCACACACACACACACACACGCGGTTTACCGAATCATTGTTACTACAAAAGATTAATCAATCAATCAATCAATCAATCGCAAAATCGAAGTTGAAAATTGCCAACTTGCCAACAACTTTTATTTACATGATGCTAAAAAGGAAGTTGAAACTACCTTTACTACCTCCTTAGCCGAGCCTTACATTCTAATGACACGACGATTTCGATTTTAGGATTTAAATAATAACTAACGGGGGGAGGGGTGGAGAAAGGAAGGGGGAGGCGCAAACGTAAAAAGAAATTTCCTTTTTTTTTGTGTGTGTGGCAGATTTCAATTCTATAACGGAAGAATTTTTAGATTTTAATGGCGAAGGAGATGATGATGATGATGATGATGATGATAATCGTCGAATGATTTGCTAACGATTCGTACGTACGGATAGAAGAATCATTATTATTATTATTATTATTATTATTATTATTATTATTATTATTATTATTATTATTATTATTATTGTTGTAAAAATAAAATTTTTGTCCGTGTCAGATTTATTGCAAATGGCGTCGTGAAACGAATGATTTACAAATTGAACGGGACGACGCGGAATTCGACAATAAATCAAAATAAATAATGAAAAATGGCGGCGGTGGCGGCGGCGGCGCCCCCGTCACAAATTCAAGTTTTTCCTTTTCAATATTTCATCGGGAGAGAGAGAGAGAAAGAGAGAGAGAGTGAGTGAAAGAAAGGATAAATTCATTGTTTACATATTTTGAAAAATATATACAAACGTTTTTTATTAACAAGGAGACGATGCATCAAAATTCGAGTTTTTTTTTCCGCTGGAAAATATCAAATCGGAATGAAAATGAAAAGAAGAAAGAAGAAGAAAGAAGAAGAAGGAGAATAAGAAGAATAATAACGAGAAGAAAAGAGAAATTTGATGTGATTTTTTTTTTCGTTGAAGCGGTCGAAGAATCGCGAGCTACGTTTTTTTCGTGGTTACCGTTACATTTGCCGGGTCGAGAGTTCGGCACAATTACGACGATCGCGAACAAACAACGCAAACGTACCAAAAAAAAAAAAAAAAAAAAAAAAAACAAACAAACAAACAACATACACACACATACACATACATGTGTACAAACAAACATCAGTAAAAAATAAATACTACCTCGTGTGCGTTTTTTTTTGTCATTTGTTTGTGTTTCGTTATTTTCACGGGTTCACGTAGCGTGAATTTTTCGTTTAAATATGTCTGTTTGGCATGCTTGAAATTATTATTATTATTATTATGTTCGAATGTGCGTGAGTGCGTGTGCTCGTTCGTTTGTTTGTTTGTTTGTCGCGGGAATATTTAATAAAATATTCGACTCGCAATATCTCATTAGTGAGGGTGGTCGGTCACGGTGTGGCGTTCGTTATCATCAAATTCATGATAAGATGAAGTCACGAATTGTTTTTTACCTTTTTTTTCGATAGTCCGTTCGTACGTTCGTTCGTACGTTCGATTTATAGAAAACGAACGTCGATTTCGAAAACAATATTGTTCGTCACATGATGGAAATAGAAAAAAAATGTGGAAGCGAAATCAAATTGAGAACATTGTTGTTGTTGTTGTTGTAATAACGACGATAGTGGTTAGATAAAGAAAATGTGTATGTGTGAGAGAGAGAGAGAGAGAGAGGGATAGAAATAACGAATGAGAATGTGAAAGAGTGAGAGAGAGAGAGAGAGAGAAAGATCAACCCGAGTCAACACAGTGCTTGTGTAACACGATATAATTTAACAACCTGGTAGACTGATAAACTTGTTTTAATAAATGAAGGCGACGCGGATTCAACGTGGGGAAAAGAAAGAAAAAAAAATGGTGTCGTTTAACCGTTGCGAAAATTGGCATTTTTTTTTTTTTTTAAAGTTTTCCCGTCGATTTTTCTTTAATTTTAATTATATTAAGTGTGAATGAATTTTCTTTTCTCATCGTCCCTCCCACCCCACCCCCCCCCCTCATTTCGAAGGAAAGAATCGATTCGAATCGACGTGATTACAAAAACAATCGATTAGAGATTTCATTGATGAAAAAATGATTCGTTCGAATTATTA